CTCGCTGTCACCCCCTTTCTCCAGGGGTTCGGCATCACCACGAGGAGATGGGAAGGGGGTTCCGCACCATGCTGGGAGGGATCATCGGGGATTTCGGTGCCGGAGCGAGCCGGAATCTGATCCGGCGTCAAGCTCACGGCACCAAAGACCTTGAGGACGGCGGTGACCGTCCTCCACCGATCCGTTAATCCCCGGTGAAGGTGACCCAGAGGAAAAGTCGAGGACAAACGGGGCAGGACATCCCGGTTGAGATTCACCGGCGGCGGGAGGTTCTCCGGCACTCGGTGATCCAACGGGAAAGGAACACGGAATTGGCGCTTTCAGAAAGCGTACCTGACGAATTCATCCGGTAACAAATCGGCGCCGACTCCCAGCGCTTCCAAAACGTCGCGGCGGATCTGGAGCAGCAACTGGGAATCTGCGGCGTAGTTTTGGGGGGAAGGATCCCGACCGTTATCCGTACGGAATTTCAACAGCACTGGGAAAAGGGGAGAGAGAAAAGTCACCAAAAACGCCGGGAGGAGCTTTGCCACACGGCTCCGCCGGCAAAGCGGCAGCTCCGCATCCGTCTTTTAGGAACGTCACGGTTAAACCTCCATCCCGCTGGCATTTGGGGATCGGCATCTCCGTGTGTGTCTTTTAGGAACACTGCGGTTAAGCCTTCATCCTGCCGGCGCTCCCCGAATTCCCTCGGGATTCGGCGATGAGCCACCATAAACCCAATTTCCCCCGTGCCGGCAGGGAATTTTTACCTTGGAGGAGGAAATAATCCGGAGCGGTGCGTTTCAACGCCGCCTTTGCCTTCTCCCCGCTCCAGTCGACATCCAGAGCTTCCTTCAGTTGGCAAAATCCCACCCGCTGCCAGGGGAGAGGAATTTGGGGGTGACAACATTCCAGGCGGTGCATCCCTCCCTTTTCCCAGCAAAGCATCAATTCCCCCCACCCCGGCACAACTCCGCCAAAGCTTCCGATAGGGATATATCTCAAGACCATGCTTTAATTAAGACATTAAGAGCAGGTTAATAGCTCAGCGTTAAAAAAGAGGATGGGATGAGGGTTTATTGAAGTGTAAAATTCCGGAATTTGGGGAAAAAAAAAAAAATCGGCTCTGAACTTTTGGAGGCGTTAAAAGGAGGGAGAGCAAAACTCGCCCCGAGGTAGAAGGAAAAGAGGTCCGGGCCCTTCGCTCGCTCGGTGCGCTGGCTTTGGCATCTGGGCAACGGATTCGGAGGAATTTGCCGGTATCCGAACCCGTCGCCATCGGAATGGGGCGACAGCTGGTTCCGTCGGCAGCCGGGGAATATTCCCCGAGCATCCGAAGGGAAACTGCACCCTCTCAGCGACGAGGAGGAGGGGGAAAGGGGACACAAAAGGGCGTTAATCTGCTGGCTCAGCTCGCGTTCTCCTCATAGCCGGATAAAGTCCGAGGGGATTTCCACTCCTCCGTTAAAATTTCCAGCTGGGAAAGCCAAACAATGCCCGGGCCGGAGGCGTTTCAACGGGAAAAGGCTTTTGTTTTGGGAGCAGAATTTGCTCCCCCCCTTATTCCCCCTCCTCAAAAAGACACGGTTTGGCTTAAAAGGAGTTCAGCTCTCAGTTGACAGCACCAACAATGCGGTTTTACGGCCCGGCTGCCACACAAAAAAGCTGTTTCAACTCCCTTTCTCCCATTAAAACCAGTATAAAACCAGTATGAAAGAAAAAACCCAACGGCGAGGTGAGAGCAGATGGAGTTTTAGGGAGAGGGTGTATCCCCCCCCCCCCCCAAAAAACACAACCACCCAGGACTACTCCGCTAAAAGACAATCCGGCTTAAACGAAGCACTGTGAGTATCTCGTGAAGGATCAAGCGGAAAATTCCCACCCCCATAACCCTCCCGGTTCGGCTCTTCCTCCACCAAAATCCCCAAAAGATGTTGTTTTGGGAATTCTCAGGGGGATGTTGGGGTTTCCCCCCCCGGCCCCGAACTCACCTTTTTCACCATAGTGGTCTCTGCCGAATCCAGTTTGGCTTTTTTGGTGTCCGGTCCATCTTCTACGCCGGGATTGACTTTGGCGATTTTGGTTTTTTCTCTACGGAAGGAATAAAAAAATAAAAAAATAGAGTTTGCTTTGAGGAACCGCCGTCCCCGTTTGCGCCGCTCAGTATTGTGGCTTTTTTTTTTTTTTTTTAATGATTCTTAAAAGATTTTAAATCTCCTCCCTCCCGAAAACAGGCAAAAGCAGCCGAAACGCCGTTTGCCATCTCACGGCGCTGATTTTCCCTTCGTCCACCCGCTTCTTCCCCTCCAACCCCGACTCACTCCACGAATTCGTGTTCCCCGAGGTCGGCGAACATATAGCCGTGATAGCCGAAAACGTCACCGGTGAAGAACTTGACGCTGTTCTTGTGACAAATCTGGTCGATCTTCACCATAACGTCGCGGGAACAGCCGGTTAGACAGACCTGCCGGCAAAAATGTCAACGTTTTGGTTTTTTTCCTTCTTCGCAGGGGTTTTTTTGGGGAGGGTAAAATCTTCCCGGCCTCCCTGGGGCAGCAGGGAAGGTTCCAGGTAGATTTTTCGACACGGCGCTCGGGCTAATTATCGATTTTTCCCTTCCCGTTTGCGCAGGGTTCATTCCAACAGGCTCTGCGCCGGGGATAATTAGGAGGTTAAGGGGATATGGCATCCCGGTTAAGGGGATATGGCATCCCGGTTCCAGTGAATTTTGGTGGGAGTATTTTTTTTAGGGGGGATGAAGCTAAATATGGATATTTTGGAAAATCAGGGCCTGAGAGCGGAGCAGGGCAGGACCCCGTTATTATAATTCTAATCAACGCTTTACGTTCCCCCCTCAACAGCTCCTGCAGGAGATCTGCGGGAGCTCCAAGACCTGGATGTGCTCTTTCTCCTCCTCCTCCTCCTCCTCCTCTTGTTTTCGGAGCCGTTTCAGATTTTTCCCCATCCGGCTGAATGGAGAAGTGGTTCCTCCACCTCCCAGCCCCATCGCAACCCCCTCAAAAAATTAAAAACCAGGCTGCCCAACGCGACGTCCGCAGGAGACCGGACGCCCGTTCGGCAGTCAGGCAGCAAAACCGGTAACCGCGGCGCAAAAACGCTCTGGGCACGACCGCAATCACACTAAAAGAGCAATTAGCGAGGAGATTTAATTACTAAGTCAGCACGCCCCTTCTCCTCCGACCTTTCTCCGCACGTACCGCGTCGAATTGGGTGAAGAACTCTTCGGGTTTGCTCTCCACATTTGCGGGGTCGGCTTTTACGTCCACCATGGGATTGAGGTTCTGTGCCCGCTCCAGCGAAGCTTCGGCTCTGTTGCGACCCAAGGAACCCCCGGGGATGAGGAACTGAGCTCGCGTGTCCTCTTGGGAAACCTGAAATGGGGCAAAAAATCCCCCAAAATAGAGAGATTAGCCCTTCCAGGGAGTCAGGCAGGTGGGAAAGTCTGTCGTATCCCCCCCCCACGGGGGAGAATTACAGCAGACGCTGCGCAAGCGGGAAGGGAAAAGCTGAGCGGTGCCATCCTTGCCGCAGGAAAACTCATCGCGAGATAACCAGAAGGGGAAAAAAAACAACAAATAATTAATAATAAAAAAAAAATCTCTGGTTATTTTGTGCTATTCTTCAATCCACCGCAGTTTCGTAGCTCGCTTCGCCCCGCTCCCAAGCTTGCAGCTCCCTCTTGCGCCCGAGGAGACGCCGTGCCGTGACCTAAAGGCCGCGGCTGCCTGAGGAACAGGGTTGTCGCAGGGCACAAAGCTCCGGATCGGGAATTCAAACTCAGCGCAGAGGTTTTTTTTAAGGGTTCCGGGTTCTACGAGACTCGCAGCAGGAGCTTTGAGCTCCACGGCTGCTCTGCACGTGCCTGGCGGACCCCGATAAACGCAGGAAGGGGTCATCCCAACGGAGACAGAGGGATGGGGCGGAGAGATGCTAACGCCTAAGACTCGTGTCCCCAAAAATAAGGTGTCTTCTCAGAGCAGTTCAGCTCCCGGCTCGAAAGAGGGTGGAAAAGTGCAGCCTGGATTAACCGCCACGCAAACGACCGGCAACGCAAACCCAACGTGACCCAAAAACGGAGTAATTCCACCCCTTCCGAGCGTATTTATCCCAAAAAGCAGCAAGCGAATCCGTACCGCAGAGGTTTTGTTGCTCAAAGCCGGAAGCGCCGTCTCACCTGCTGATGGTCCAACATGGTCAAACCTTTGACTCCCGCCAAGATGAGATTCTTCGCCACTTCGGCTCCGAGACCCTTCATCCCCACCAGCAGCACCCGGGAAGCTCGTAACCTGCGGCAGAAATCCTCGGATCAGCGTTAACGGCTCCCAAGGGATTGGGATGAAGGGGAATGGGCGCCGGGAAGGAATACCCGGCGGATAAATCCGGCTGGATAGAAAAACCGCGCTCCTCGGCATCACCGCCTGATTAAAAAGAGGTTTAACAGGAATTTGGAAGCGAAGAAACACGAAGGCTGTCAGGAATGGGGAATTTGGGGAAAATCCGCAGGAAAACTAACCCCCAAAAAGAGCGTTTGTGTCTTTGGAAGAGGGAATAACACCTAAAGTCCCACGCCGCTTCCCAGCGAATGGGGTGGGAGAGGTTGAAGGTTTGTTAACGTACGTTTTGGGGTTCCTAATAACCACCCACCCCCACCCCCCCCCGCCAAGGGCTGAAGGAGCTGCATTGGATGTGGATATATTACAATTAAAAGGAAATTCATATTTTTTTGTGTGTATATTCATTCCAGCCCAAAAATGGGGCACGCGAGTTTGACATTTTCGGAATAACCGACCGATGTGCTTTCCTCATTTTTTAACATTTATATGTTTGGGGTTTTTTTCTCCCATATTGGAACTCTGTTATTGATTAGTCTGTACGGGTTTTCCAATAAAATCAAATTTACTCAGCACCAAGCGATAATCCCGGCTGTTAAAGAGACTCCTGCTTTTTTTTTCCCGCCTATTTCCACGATCGTTTTTATCGGCGTTCAGCAATATCATTACGTTCACCTTCACATCTTGGGGTTGTTCCACCTTCTCCGGAACAAAACCCCCATCACCGCTTCCCCGGGGAACACCTGAGAAATTGGAAAGGAGCAGAAATCTGGAGGGGCGGCAGGAAAGGACCACCAAAAATAACTTGAGAGTGGAAAAATTAAGTGTTTCTAGAGAAAGTAGGAGTTGAGGAAGAGGGTTTCTAGCAGAGAAAGACCCAGGAACTGGCAGAAGGGCCCCACCGGCCCCCCCGAGCACCTATA